CCCCCCCCCCCCCCCCCCCCCAACACACCTGTCGCCCCTCCGCCGTCAGCGTCGGCGGGTTTCCCGGGGGCGAGGCGTCGTCATCGGTCTTGAGAAAGGCCACGAAGTTGCCAAGGAGGCCCACGAGGGCCTTCCGCTTGGCGCCCGCCCACTCTTGTTGAGAGGCCGCTCGGGTGCGCGGCGGCAGTCCCTGCTCTTCGGAAACCGTCGCCGCAGCACGGTCCACGGCGAACCCCACCGTCGCTTTCGTCACCGCACCTACCACCTACGAATAATCGGCGGGGGGGCGGGCGGAGGGGTACGTATGTCAATGCATTGCCGTGTAGTCGTTAGAACATTTACCTCGCATGCCGCGACGGAACGATGTATGTCGGGTTTTCGACGGGCCAGGCTACGGTTTACAAGGGTGAAACAGAAGAGAACCGGGGGGGTGATATGAGCTATGTACATCGGTCGCCCCGGTGGTCTAGTGGGTAACCTCGCAGCCTGCTAAGGGCCAGGTCATGGGTTCGAGTCCCGGCAGAGAGAGTTNCAGGCAGGAACCGCAGGAGGGGGTCCAGCCCCCCCCTCCTATGTGACCCCGGTTGGGTCGTCTAGCTAGTAGAAGTGGAAGATGGGCAGACGACAGAATCCGATGATGGGAGAAAAATAAATATATATATATATATATATATATATATATGGAGAGGTGAGCGATCCCTCTCGGACACAGCAGCGGTGCCGGTGGCTTGTGTGTCTACTGCTGCTGATATGCATATTACTGCGGGTTCTCAAGCTCGAGAAAGCCAGTTGAATCCAGCAGCAATCGCGAGGATATCAACCTTGTTTTTTAGGAGAGGGTGCGGGGTTGAGTTAGGGTTACGACACCCCCCTTTCTCTCTTTCATCTATTCAATAATGACATCCTCGCGAACTCGCGAATGCGGTCTCGGTGCAGGCCCCCCCCGTGGACCTAGGGTTCCGCCGCAACACAAAATGTTGTGTCATATTAAGAAAAAAAAAAAAATCTTCCGAATCCATAGGGCAGTGGCAACGGGCATGAAACTATCAATACATGAAATCCACCCTTGCAAGCCGGTCACACACCGTACCTGCCGAGACCACATTCACGTAAAGGTAATTGCTGTATCCTGTACGTGTGCATATATGCATACGCCGTCTCAGTGCCTTCAATCTGCAACATGCGAGCATGTCACCGCATGTACCTGGTGCATAACAAATCGTACAGCAGTGCCACTTGTTTGCATGTTGCTCAATACAACATCAAACCGGAAACGTCGAAAAAGCTGGGCCGCACCTCTGCCGCAAGCTCCATCTTCTCCTCCTCCTTCTCTTCGCCAGCAGCGGCCATGAGGCAAACCCGATCCCTATTGTGGCTGATGCCCCCGCCGCCTGCTGACATCCGACCGCCGCTCTCAGACGCAGCCAGGCGGAGTCGACAGCCGCCAACAAAGGTGGCGGGCGGTGCTGCTGCTGTCTTACCCATGACAAGGAGCAGCAACGCGGAGAGCAGCATGCCCAGCGGGACAACCTGGAGATCACGACCGTGGTGACAGCAGCAGCATTGGTACTTCCGCCGTACACAGCGGGGTGCCGGAGTAGTACAAGCACTGCTGGCACGTGAGTGTCTACACCAGGGTCTCCGTGGGAGTCGGCCGCCGCTCATCATCGTCATCTTCGCGTTGATCGCCATCCTGGCAGCTTGCTGCGCATGTCCCAGTCGGGTAGGAAAGCGGACAGGGACCAGCAGCCCAGACTCTATCAACTGCCGGCGCACAGGCGACAGCAGTGAGTATGATATGCCTTGTCTGTTGTGCCTCTTGATGCTGGTGCCCCTGTTAGGCGGCCAGGGGCTGTTACGGGGGGCTCGCAGATGAAAACTGAATCGATAGCGTGGTATGGGCCTGCGGTGCTGGCTCTCCCTCCGGTGCTGACTTTATCTGTTATGTTTATGTATGTGATGTCATGGCTGCCTTCGCAGGTTCAGTGGATGACCATTGGGTGTGCCCCTCGAACAACCGCACGAGTCGCTGCAGCATACCCGCAAACGTTTTCCACACCACTACTGCTGCAAGCCCCCCTTCGTCTACATAGCTCCCCGCGCTGCGATCATGAAGTTCGGGAAGAACCTCAGCAAGTCATTCGTGCGCGGTCGGAGGCAGCGGTACGAGGAGCACCTGCACGTGGCCGATCTTCGAGAGAACCTGACCCACGAAGAGTTTGGCGTGCCCGTCGACTCCATCTACGACTTCTCGTGGGTAATCCTTGCTTGACCCAGTAGCAGCAGAGTGATAAGAACGGTGTGCTAGTTGTGCGGTGTTTTCTCCATAAGGGATCAGCCATGCACTGCTGGTGAGAAGGGCGGGTTGATCGGAACTACTTGCTGTTGCCGCTCAACTGCCCTCATTGTGCAGTAACTCCCGCAGGAGTGCAGCAGGGTAGAGGGTGGACGGCACAGCCTCGGTATTGGAGAGAGAGAGAGAGAGAGGGAGAGAGCTGAGCATTCCATCGTATGTATGGTCCGTTCGGGCAAATATTCACAATCTTGTTTTTCGCGATATCTTTCGAACAAAAACGATTTGGAAAGTGAAAAACTTTGGGCGTGACCGCGGCGTCGAGCTTCGTCGATATCCGATGAGTTTTTGGTGATTGGGTGAAATGCGACATTTTTGACCAAATTGACCCACGGAGCCCCCCCCACCCCCTCATGACCCCACGGAGCCCCCAAAGTACACCACGACCCCCCCTCAACCCCTCCCTTCTATACGTGTATGCCTTCAGAACATCAGTTAAACCGTTGTCAATCCATATTTACATTATTTACACGTTACATATGTACATACATACAATACCGCCGTTTACTTGCTACTCAACCCCTGGCTGGTGAATGTGCTGCAAACAAAGCATGCAGCAATCACATCCGTTCTCTCTAAGCAAGTCCGATACCAAGAGAGACAGCTATAGCGTTGAGTTGGTGACCATGACGAACGCCTCTACCGCGCCTAAACGCGAGAAACCAACACTACAACACACCGCGACATATAGATACGTACCCTCCCCACTCACGCCTGAGCGTGCCCGCCCAACCATTTCCTCAAAAAATTCATCGTGTTGCGCAAAATCCACAGCCGTAGCTGCTCCTTCCGGGAGGCTCTCTTGCTCGTCCACGTGTTGAAGGCTTCCCTGGTCGCTGCCATCGACTTCTTGCGCACTTCCTGCGCAGCCGCAAGCGCCTTCGCCTCGGCTGCCTTCTTCTGCTCCGGCGTCTTCCCCGCCCCCCTCGCCTGAATCACGGCATCTCCCCTGGCGGTGGCTTCTCGGTGCTTCCCCCACTCCTTGAGATCGCGGTACTCGAGGTAGTCCTCCAGGCCCTCGTCGTAGGCTTCGATGTACAGCCACGTCACCCTGCTCCATGCGCGGATAAACCGTGCGGGTACGCCGCTCAACGCGCCGGGCAAGACCTGGAGCATGTGGCGAAGGGAATACTCGCAGTGGAGGCGGAGGAGGTGCTTGATGTACCCCCAGTATCGCTCGATTGCGTTGAGCTCTGGGTGGTACTTCGGCAAGAAGATGCACAGGTGCCCGTGTGCCTTGAAGAGCTTCTCAACCATGTTGAGCTCCTCCCTGAACGCCTTGAGCTCAGACAGAACGCGCACGACGCAGCAGCGACGCCTCTTGCCTGCTTCACCAGCTGCCCCGCTCCCACCCGAGTCCCCGTCCTCTCCGCCGTCCTCCTCTCCCTGCCCCGTGTTGTCCACCACCTGCTGCCGCCCCTCTCCACCGCGGTTGAAGGCGGTAATGGCTTGCCTTGTTGCCGCCTTTTCCGCCCTGCACGAGCGGCACTCGTGAACGCGTAGGGTTGGCTCGCCTTCCCACAGCCCCATCTCCATGAGCAGCTGCTTTCCTCCTTTCGGCAGGCCGATGAGAACGGCGATGGGGCCAGTCGTCGTCGTGGTCGTTGGTGTGCATGGGAGAAATATTGGCGCCTTCATGGTCGGAAGAGGGAGGAGAGTCGTTGCCTACAGCAGGGTCCGAAAGGGGCGAAGGGGCCTTCCGAATCGTGCCGTCGGCGTTCCTTGGCAGCTTGCGCTTACCCTTTGGGCGACCCATGTGCCCGGAGCGCGTGTGCGTCTTTCGTTGCGTGCGTAAAGGGTGTGTGTGTGTGTGTCCTCTGGTGTGTGTGTGGCGGGAAAAAATTCCCCGAGGGCGTGTGAAACCACCCGAAATATCTCCGAAACCCGAGTTTTTTTTTGAAATCGGAAAAAAATCATCGGTGGGAAATCACGAGAGGAATCGATTGCAGCACTTTATTTTTGAATCGTACGGTTGGATTGTCCCCAAGAAACTAAGCAAAATACCCTCCAATATCCGTTTTTTTGCCCAAAACTCCGTTATTTTTTGTCAAATTGGAAATCGGAAAAAAATCATCGGTGGCAAATCACGAGAGCTGTCCAAATCCGGTCTCAGATTTTGTGTCTGCAAAAAACACCGCCCTCCAGGAAGTAAGCAAGATTTCTTGAATATCTGAACATATCGAGCGAAGGACGTAAAAAAAAAAATCTCCGTACGAAGATGCGCCTTGAAACGTCGATTTACGCGGTATTTTCAGATTTCGGAATAAGTACCCCCACCCCGAGAAAAGTGCACCTTTGTGCAGGGGAAAATATTGTGAATATTTGCCCGAACGGACCATATTTTGATGTATTTACAGCGCGATACGCGTGGACGGGTACGGAAAGGCGGCGCAACCTTCGCTGTTCGATGCTGGATGTCGGATGTCGGTGTTTCCCTCTGGTCTGTCTGTCTACCGTCTCTCTTTCGTTCTGTCTATCTTTCTGTCTGTCTATCCGTCTGCCTGTCTGTCTGTCTGTCCGGGTGTCTGTTTGTCTGTCTGTCTGTCTGTCTGTCTGCCGGTCTCTGTCTCTGTCTCTTTCTTGCTCGCTCTGTGGGGCTCTGGGTCGTTGTTGTTGTTTCTCACATTAGCTCTACTGTCCACAATAAATGGGGAGCCCGTGGTCTCAAAACCCGGCACATACGACGCCGTGGGGAAACAAAACAAATATAGGGTACAAACCACTCGGAAAAAGATAACAAAATGATAGAAAGAAAAGAACAGGTACCGCACCGACCGTTCGAGAAAAGAGCCCTCGGAAACCGATCAAAAATAAAACAATAACAAAAAGAAAGAAGGACGCTTCCCACACCCGCTTAAAGAAAAATAAAAAGGGTAACGTACGAGCACCAGGCACTACGCACCAGGGCATGGGAGTAACGGAGCAAACAGGACAAAGCGGCGGCAGGTGGGCAGACAGCCGGATGTACAAAAAACAAAAGCAACAGCAAAAAAAAGCGAGATCAAGGTACCCAACAAAGTAGAGTAGGCAGGGAGGACAAGAAAAGAAATAAACACAGCACAGAGGCCGAAGGCAATAGAAAAGGACATACACAAAGGAGTATAGCATACAGCAGGGAGGGAAACAGGGCGCAACAACATCAGCCGGGTACATACCGTATATGACACAAGATAACACACCCCCTTGACCGATTTTCGAAGCTCGATTTCTCACCTGCAGGAACAGTCAGCGCCGAAAACGGCGGCGTTGAAACCGTCTCGTCGAGAGCTTTTCGAAAATGTATCGTTTCGTTTATGCATCCTCTTCGTCGTGGAGTAATCGAGTTTTGAAAATCGGTCCAGGGGGTGTGTTATCTTGTGTTATATAGGGTAGTTCGCCATAAGTGCTGCCTCGGCCGCCCTACTCGCTTCTACAGCATTGCCCGGTCGCCGTTTCTTCCCCCCCACCTCCGCTTCCCCGACTTTCTTTCTCTTCGGTCCTGAGATGGCCGTACTCTCTGCTTCTGCTTCCTTCGCGCGCTGGCGCTTCGCGGACGCTTCCGCCTCCTGCCTGTGCCATTGCCCCATAAACCATGCCGCTCCGTCCTCGACCTTGTTGTACCACACCTCCGGGTCCTTGGCGCTCTCT